TGGTACAACATGGATAAATCTCAGAAACGTGATGCTAAATGGAAAACGAAAGACCATAGACTATAGGAATCCATTCATATGAGATGTCCAGAGCAGGCAAATCTACAGAGGTAGGAAGTAGACGAACACATTCAAGTAACATGCTAATTGTCTCATGTATGTGTCAAGGGTAGGTCCTCTGAGTCCCTGCCCACGCTTGTTCAAATTCAGCCATTCAAATATATTTTGTTAAGCACTACTTTCTTCTGTGGCCCTTTAAAAAGATTAAATATTCCTGAAAAAAACTTTTTTTTTGCGGTACTAGGGCATGAACTCTGGGACTCACTCTTGCTGGGCAAGTGTTCTACCACTTGAGCCACACTCTAGCCCCAAATCTTCCTGAAATTTAAACATGCATGCTCGTGGTATCATTATTTACGGTAACTAAAATGTGAAAATAACCCAAATGTGCATCAATGATCAATGTAGAAACAAAATGGTCCATCCACACAATGGACCGTTATTCAGTCATTAAAAGGAATGATACATTGGTCTTCTGCAAACATACACAAACCTTAAAAACATTACGCTAAGTTAAAGAAGTCAGACCCCAAGGTTACTTTTATAGTGAATAGCTCAAATAGGGAAACCTACAGAGGTAAAAAAGCAGCTTAGTGGAGTGGTTGCCAGGGACTGGAGAGAGGGAAGAATGGGGAGTTATTTCTAATGTGTTCAGTTTTTCTTTTGGGATGATAAAAATACCCAGCACTAAATAGTAGGCGAGGTTGTACATCATTGTGAATGTATTAAATATAGCCAGATGCCAGTGGCTCACACTGTAATCCCAGTTACTCAGGAGGCAGAGATCAGGAGGATCGTGGTTAGAAGCCAGCCCAGGCAAATAGTTAAAGAGACCCTATCTTAAAAGAAGAAAACCATCACAAAAAAGGGCTGGTGGAATGGCTCAAGGTGAAAGGTGAAGACCCTGAGGTCAAGCCCCACTACCAAAAAAAAAAAAAAAGAAAAGGAACCAGAGTTTTGCTAAGAAAGGCTACTCCCCCACCTGTAATAGCATATCTCCCTGAAGACAGACACTGATTCATCAAATAGACTTTTTTTTTTTTGCAGTCCTAGGGCTTGAACTCAGGGCCTACACCTTTCACCTTGAGCCACTCCACCAGCCCTTTTTTGTGATGTTTTTTCAAGATAGGGTCTCTCCAACTATTTCCCCAGGCTGGTTTTGAACTGTGATCCTCCTGATCTCTGCCTCCTGAGTAGCTAGGATTACAGATGTGAGCCACCAGTGCCTGGCCATCAAGTTGACTTTTGGCAAGTGCCCTGTGACACTTTTTATGAGGTCAAGTATCTTGTTTGTATGTTCACTGAGGTATTCCTAGGATTTAGCATAATGTCTAGCATATGTAGCTGCTCCAAAATATTTATTGACTGAAGATTGAAAAAGTCAAAACCAAAAGAAGCCCTGGGCTTTGCCCTTGAGGGGCTCCCAGTGTATCAGATGAGGTAGCTCCTTTCACAACTCAATGTATAAATTGTCACATTTAATAAATGAAGCTTGAACAAGGTGGTGGGGAAATGTTCACATAATATCTAAGGGAATAGGCACAGACACAGTAGTCCCTCCTTACTTGTGATCTTGCTTTCTGCTGTTTCAGTTACCCATGGTCTGAAAATATCGAATGAAGTATCTAGAAATAAGCCATTCATAGTTTAAATTGTGCACTAGTCTGAGTTGTATGATGGTCTCTTTTAACCCCACACTTCATCCCGCTGGAGACATGAATCATCGCTTTGTTCTGCGTTTCCACACTGTATATACTACCTGTCTGGTAGTCACACAATAATTATCTTGGTTGTTAGATCAACTATGGAGGTATCACATATCTCTATGTAGTATTTGGCAGTATCTGAGACCTAGACATCCAGTGAGGATCTTGGGATGATTTTCTCTGTGGGTAAAGAAGGACTACTGTGTAGAGAACAAGGTTTTTGTTTTTGTTTTTTCAGTGCTGGTGATGAAAGTCAGGGCTTTGTGCCTGCTAGACAAGTACCCTACTACTGAGCTACATCTCCAGTTCAGGATGAGTGTAGGCACAGAGAAGTATAAAACAGGAGAACCAACTCAAATGCTGGCAGGTGAAGCTGAGTCAATGGGTCAGTCAGGGTAGTGAGTGAAGCAAGCTTGGTTTCAAGGAAAAATTATGCACGGTGAGGATTGTGGCAAGGTGGGGACAACATGCCTTAATTAGTTAAAGATGGCTCTTGGGCTGGAGGATTGGCTCAAGTGGGAGAGTGTCAGCCTGACAAGCATGAGGCACTGAGTTCAAACCCCAGTACCACCAAAAAAAGAAATATGAAAACAAAGATAGGAAGCTGCGGGGCACCTGTAATCCTAGCTATTCAGGAGGCAGAGTTCAGGAGGATAGAGGCTCGAAGTCAGCCTGGGGAAATAGTTAGAGAGACCCTATCTCAAAAAAAAACCATCACGAAAAAAGGGCTGGTGAAATGGCTCAAGGTGTAGGTCCTGAGTTTAGATCCCAGGTATTGCAAAAAAAAGGAAGGTGGCTCTTATTGCTTATATCCTGACAATTGTCTTCACACAGGAATAAACGCTATGGTCTAATTTTTAAAGTGAAGTTGGAAATACAGTTTCCCGGGAGGGGTCTAAAATTTCTCAATTGTTTGGTATTGGGAACACTATGCAAGGCAAAAAAAAACCCCTTATCTAATAGGCCACATCTGGTCCAGGGTTCACCACTTTGAAACTTCTAGTCTAGAAATTCACCCTTTTTTGGTCTTGCAGTGCCAAGAACAGAGACTTAAATATAGGAACTCAGCACATATTTATTGCCTAAATAAATGATTTTAAGGTTGAATAGAAGGTCATTCCAGCTGGGTGCTGGTGGCTCACGCCTGCAATTCCAGCTACTCAGGAGGCAGAGATCTGGAGGATCGTGGTTTGAAACCAGCTGAGGCAAATAGTTCATGAGACCCTATCTTGAAAACAATCATCACAAAAAAGGGCAAAACCATTCATCGATCGTCATAAAAACATTTTTTTTTGATGGGACTTGAATTTGAACTAGGGCCTTCCTTACACTTGCTAAACAGGTGCTCTACCACTTGAACCACTCTGCCATTCATCTTTATGCTATATCCAAAATGCAGAAGGATCCTGACAGAACTGTGAGTTTATAAGTACTGTATGCTTTTTCATAAAAAGGGTGAGAAGGGGAGGCATGCTCAAGTGGTAGAGCACTTGCCTAGCATGCTGGAGGTACTGGGTTCAATCTCGGTACTGGGTTCAATCTCTGCTACCACAACAACAACCACCCTCCCAAAAACAAAAACAAAAAATGTGGGGCAGAGATAAAGATAAACTGAGGCAAAGAAAAAGGTTATTTAAATATTTTACTTGTGGCAAAAAGCAGCTTCTCCATTTATACCTAAAAATCAGTTATAGCCTGTAACTTATACCTATAATCCTAACTACTTGGGAGGCTATCAGGAGGATCACTGTTTGAGGCCAGCCCTGGCAAAGAGTTTAAAACACTCCATTTTCAAAATAACCAGAGCAAAATGGACTGGAGGTATGTCGAGTTTAAAGCCCAGTCCAACTCAAAAAAAGTCAGTTATATATTAATTTTGTACATTAACTGAAATGCTAAAATGTGGAGTTCTTTTTTTTTTGTGGTACTGGGGCTTGAGCTCAGGGTCTACACCTTGAGCCACTCCACCAGCTCTATTTTGTGTTGGATATTTTTGAGATAGGGTTTCTTCACCTATTTGCCTGGGGCTTCAAACCACGATTCTCCTGAACTGTGCCTCCTTAGTAGCTAGGATTACAGGTGTGAACCACTAGAGCCTGGCTGTGGAGTTAAGATACGGAAGTTAGCTTATACTCCGAGTAATCAATGGCTCCCCCCCACACACCCAGAGTTATTTAGTCTGTATGTATTTACCTCCTTTCTTTGTTTTTGTGAAGTAATACCACATATTTGCTATTTATTTGCAGTACTGGGGTTTGAACTGAGAACCTCCTGCTTGCTAGGCAGGTGCTCTAACACTTGAGCTACTCCACCAGGTTTTCCTTCATCACTTATTAAACATATTAAACAAATACGATCGAGAGGACAAAAACCAGACACAGTGTGTGTTTGCATGTGGTCCAAGTTGAATAGTAAGTACATGCTTTTTCTTTCAAGGGACATAAAATCTAGGAAAGGCAACTCACTAACAGTAACTTGTAGGCTATGGAGAACTGCCTTGGGAGGTACAGATGAATGGGAGGGGAACTGTGAAAACCAGATGGAAAATACTGCCCTGTGATTGACTTTTTGAGAGCTTTAAATGCCAGACTCCAATTTATTTTGTAGAAAATAGAGACTTGCCACAGGGAGGTGATATCTTTTATTTTCTATTTTTCACAAAAGGATCTATGGCACTTGTCACCTGACCTGGCTGTCTGCAAATGGCATTTGTGAACTCCTAAGAAACATGTTTATTCCTGTCTTTAAAAAGGCAAAAAGAGTTAAATGAAACCCCCAATGTTTTGACTTTAAAAATTAACATCGCAAATTGAACACATAATTCAAAGGGCGAATTTAAATTCGTTACTTTTAAACACAATCCCTTTATTTATTTATTTATTTATTTATTTATTTTTAAACACACTCCCTTTAAAATGCAATCTGAACTGTTTGCAAATAATCTGTTTTCAAATTAAATAGCAATTGCGCGGTCTCTCCGCCCTTTGCAGCGGTTCAGTTTCTGACCTCAAGCAGTGGTCTCCCTTCCTACACGGTCCCTGTCCACGTCGGCTGGGAACTTGCGCTCCTTCGACAACCGTTTCTGTAGGGAAGCAGCCGTATGGTGCACCCCATGTGCCCCACCCCTCTCCGCACTCCTGGCCATTCGATTGGTTGTAGCCCTCGCTCGTGCTCTATGATTGGCTGACCGCATGCCGCGAGAGCGAGGATGCGCCTTTCTCTGGGAAACATCGCTGGCGGACGGAAGCGTGCAGCGGGTTGTAATAATGCCTTAAGGCGACCGCTGGACGCGGCGCGTGGCGGGTCTCCGAGACTTCGTCTCGGAGGACTGCCATGGCCAGCGTCCACGAGAGCCTCTACTTCAATCCCATGATGACCAATGGGGTGGTGCACGCCAACGTGTTTGGCATCAAGGACTGGGTGACGCCGTATAAGATCGCGGTGCTGGTGCTGCTGAACGAGATGGGCCGCACGGGCGAGGGCGCTGTCAGCCTCATGGAGCGGCGGAGGCTCAACCAGCTGCTCCTGCCGCTGCTGCAGGTGAGGGGCGCCCGCCGGCTCCCGCCCATTCGGCAAACTTGGTGAGGACCTGCTCTGTGCAGGTCACCGCCAGGGCCTGGGGACAGGGGGCCCGTCAAGTGCTCTGTGTGCTCCAGCGGGATGCGAAAAGAAAAAGCTCATACCGCTCAGACGTACTGAGGGCTGACCATGGGTCAGCTGCGTTTCTTCTGCAGGTTCGCGTCGGGCTCCAGTGCTTATTGCCTGGGTGGCTAGGGCAGAGCTACAGGCTCGGATCTTCCGTGCTCTGGAAAGTCGACCTACACTTGGTCCTCAGCATTGGAGACGCTTCCTTCCTGTAATAAACAATAATGACCTAAGTGTTGGTGGAACACTTACCGTGTCTTAAGCACTTCATCCGTTTTATTTCATTTTACAGACTCAGGTCGCACTTCCATTGCTTACTGACTAGTTGCCACTTGTGCAAGTTTTTTTGTCCCATTTTGGGTCTCAGCTTTCTCTCTGTAAAAGGGACACAGTGATAGAAAGTATGTTAATAGCACATAGTAAATCAGTGTTAAGTAATATTTTCATTTTAATACGTTTTGTTAGGACGTGTATTCCTCTATCAGTTGTGGGTTTTTTTTTTTTCTTTTTGGCGGTACTGGGATTCGAACTCGGCCTTATGCTTGCTAGGCAGGTGCTCTTACCGCTTGAGCCTCTCAGCCAGCCCGTTTTTGTGATTGTTTTTTCCCAAGATAGGGTCTCTTGAACTATTTGCCCCAGGCTGCCTTCGAACCACAGTCCTCCTCATCTCTTCCTCCTGAGTAGCTAGGATTACAGGAGTGAGCGACCTGTGCCCCGCTTTTCTTTTTAAACTAGGTAAACTGTATTTTTGGGAAAGGGGAATTGAAAGAGGGAGCAACCTAGGGCCCAGTGCTTAGGTGGCTTGCCCACTTAACTAAAAGGGGCAGAAAGGTTGATAAATGAATTATGTTTGTGGTTCTTTATCAATCTCCAGCTCTTTAGCATGTATCTATAACCTTCCTATCTCTCCTTTACACAGGGCCCAGATATTACACTGTCAAAACTATACAAGTTAATTGAAGAGTCTTGTCCTCAGCTGGCAAATTCAGTACAGATCAGGTAAACTTCATTTTTTTCTGTATATATGAAAAGGTATCAAGGTGGATGAAAATTTCAGAGGGTGTGTAGTAATTTTTAAAGTTACCTGTATTCTAGGGGTTGTTTTCCTAAGTACCTTTACTAAATTTTATTTTAAATGGACATCAAACATACAGTTCTGCAGCTTTTTTCAATTTCTGTATGGATCTACCTTATTCTTTTTAGTCTTGGCAGATAATTCCATTTTGTGAGCTGATGTGAAAAAATTTCATGATTTAAAAACACCCCAACAATGTTTGACACTTTTCAGAAATTTGGGAATGGTATTTTGGAGTATAAGGCTTGTTTTATGTGCAACTTAATACAAATCTCTGAGCCACCTTGAAGCAGGTTTATTGTAGATGATACAGGAATAGGAAACGCGGAAGCTGGTCAAAGAGCCTTCCTAAAATGTGCACCTCAATTTTCTCATTCAGAATCAAACTGATGGCTGAAGGCGAATTGAAGGATATGGAACAATTTTTTGATGACCTTTCAGATTCTTTTTCTGGAACTGAACCAGAGGTTCACAAAACAAGTGTAGTAGGTATGATACTCTTCTAAGAAGAGCAGAGGATATTTTCATTCAAGTGAACAGCTTTCTCAGTGACATCTGTCATTAGTGTGCTATACCTGTAGACAAATATAGTAGGGGTATTGGAGCTGTTGTAGTTTGTATTGTCATGCCACTATGATTTATATTTAACAATAATTAACTGTGGAAAAGCACCCTCTGTTTTGTTTACAATAGTCTAGAGTCTGAGCCTGGTCCTGGGGTTTTTAGGGTTTCCCAGCTCTTTTCACAGTCCTCTGGATCACTTGCTGCATTGTGCAACTGTAAGTGAGGGTCACCAACCAAACTTAGGAGGAGAGGTAAGTAAAAACATTATTGTTCTAGTACACAAAGTGAGCGTGTACATGATGTTTCTGTGATGCTTTTCTACTAGCTTTGTATTCATACTCCGTCCCTCTGGCTCTTTTGCATGATAATTTTTATATTATTTAACATCAGTTAGTTATTGATCTTCTATGTGCCAGGCTCTGAGTGTACAAGACAGATACGGACTTTCCTCTTATGGAGATTGTGTTCAGGGAGGGAAGAGTGAAGCCAGATAGTAAAAAATAAACCAATAAATAGGATAATCTCAGAGTGTTAGAATAACCATAAAATAAAATAGAGTCCGTGAGGTGGAGGAGTGGGGATGGGGCAGGACTAAGCCCTGAATAAAAAGGAGACCAGCTCTGTAAAGGATGAGGGAAGAACATTCCAGGAGGAGGGAACAGCACCTGCAAGTGTCTTTGATTCTTTGAAGGAAAAATTGTGCCAAATAGTCATTTTCATTGTGTGGTGGGATATTAGTTAATTTTTTTCCTTGTCTGTGGTCTTATTTTGTAGGTTTATTTCTGCGTCACATGATCTTGGCCTACAGTAAACTTTCTTTCAGTCAAGTATTTAAACTATATACTGCCCTTCAACAGTACTTTCAGAATGGTGAGAAAAAGGCAGTGGAGGATGCTGATATGGAACTGACCAGCAGAGAGGAGGGTGAAAGAAAGATGGAAAAGGAAGAACTTGATGTATCTGTCAGGTAAGTTGGGTTTTTCTGTCAGAGATCCTTTTCCTGTGAGGCAGTATGACTTCAGGTGCAGTAAATCCTTTTTATTCAGAGTTCGTGTACTGGCCATCCCTTTTTTGTCCCCGATATCTGGGACGTTGGCTCATGGGCTGCACCAGGGACTCTTTGCCCTCTGATGTGGGGTTGGCCAGTGGGAGGCACAGGTGGGAAATCCACAGGGTCAAGGAAAGTGAGGTCAGGCTGTGGATTCACTGGCTCCTTTCCTTTGGGGTCAGGGGATTGCTGTGGGGGGCGGGGGTCACAGCTTTTGTGATATCCCTTTCTGCACTCCTTTGGGGAATCTGGTAATGAGGAGGAGGTCTTCCCAGACCTGAGTTGCAGGGTGCCCCAGTGTTACCAGCCATGGGGACCATGTTATCCCTCACAGCTTCTTTGTTCCTTGTCCCTACTTTTGTAAGTGTTCTTTGTTCAGTTCTCCTCAGGTTCCACAATTTGAGTGTGCTGTTTCTTTTCCTCAGGGACCTTGAGCAGTAGTATTCAGCACATCAGAGCTCAGTGCGTTGAGTGAATTAACAATTGAGTAACTCTGAAGATGTATGGAATGCCTCCTAAGGTGTAGGCACAGGGGTGTGGTGCTGCTGCTGCTTATGAGTTGTTGAAGCTCAAAACCTAGGGGTGTCCTTGGTTCCTTTCTGGCCTTCCCCCTGACAGCCCATTCCCTGTAGGTCTAGTCAGTTCTTCCTCCTTGACGTTGTCTTAACTGCTTCACTTCTCTCATCACCATTGCTAACCCCCAGGTCAAAACACCAAAGTTCTTTGGCCTCCTCGATGGCTTCTTGTCTCCCTCCTGTCTGTGCTTCACTTGGCAGCCAGAGGAACCTGGTGGAGTGTGAGTCGGGTAACAGCTCTTCTCCCCACCCCCTCCAGTGACAGCCCTTGGAACTTACAAGTGAAGCTTCTAAGTTCCACAGCCTGGTGCTGCCTGGGGCCCCAGCATTTTCCTTGACCTCTTTCTCTTTACTGCTACCTGCACGCTCACATGGCTAACTGCTCTGGGTTTCTTTTGGTTTCTTCAGTACTTCAGGCCAGTTTCTTCTGCAGGTCCCCTGGATACTCTTCTCTGGCTTTTCACCTCGTTGGTTCATTTTACTGTTCAGACGTCAGCTTGGGTATTCTCTGTCCTGACCACGTATCTGCAGTAGCCCTCATCCCAAATGCTTTCTGCTTTGTTCCCTTCATACCTCTAACCTACCTACCTTCCTTCCCTCTTTCCTTTCTCTTGGTAATGGGGCTTGAACTCAGGGTCTACACCTTGAGTCACTCCACCAGCCCTTTTTTTGTGAGGGTTTTTTTCGAGCTAGGGTCTGTAAATATGTACTGAAGAGCTGTAGCAGAGAATCAGAATATAGTCCATCACCCACACCAGCAACTTGTCCAGCATCCCATTTTTGACTTCTTTACCTTTGCTTTCTCACCTCCCTCTCTAAGCCACTGGAAACTGGGATCACCTCCCAAAGAAACTACTTATACTTTGCTTGGAATAACATATATGTATGTGTACACACACACACACACACACAGAGTTCTGGTGAGAACTGACAAGTAAATAGATGGCACAATGCAGTGTGTACAGAGCTCTGATGGAAGTGAGTCCCATCTGTCCTAAGCAGGCTGGCCGGCCCCTGGGTGGAGGCGGCCACATTGTGTGTGGAGGGGAGTGCTCTCCTGCACTTCCTGAGTGGCCTCTGTATTGCGATGTGATTTGTTCAGGACATTCTGGGGACTAGAAGAGAATAATACTAGTAAGTGCTTCCCAAAACTCATTTCTTTCCAGTCGCTTACAAATGCTTCTTATGTATGGAAAGACAATACGGTGTAGTGCTAAGATTGGCTGAGGAGTCAAACCACTGGTGTCAAGTCTGCTGTGAGACCTTGGGCAAGTTACTCAGCCTCTTTGTGCTTCAAGTTCCTTACTTGCAAAATGGGACTTATCCTACCTTCTCAGAAGAGTGTTGTAAGAATTAAATGATAAGTTCGTATAAAGTATTTAAAACTATGCCTAATACTTAGTACATGTTCAATAGGTGTTAGCTGTTGTGATTATTATTATCTATCTTTTCTTTTAGTTAATTTCTCTAAGGAATATTTCTAGTCTACAGTGTAATCCTTGTTCTGGCTACTTTATGCTTAAAGTAGCTAAGTGTCACTTTTTTTGAACTGTTAAAATTCAGAATTTGCTTATTTTGGTTTGGCTTTCCCCTAAATTAATCTGATGTAATTAGGTCAAACTATATCTTTTTGTCTTATTCTATTTAAGAAGTCATTTGTGTACATTTAATTTAGTATACTTACTGTAAAGGCATCTGGTTTCAGAAAATAATATACTTTTAGTAAACAGAATTTCATCATGAAAATTGAAGAAATATATTATTTGAACATAAATCCTATTAAGTATTATAATTATTTGTCCAAAAAGAAGTTATTTTGTTAGAGAATTTTAATTTTTTTTTTTTTAATGCAGTGCTAGGGGTGGAATACACTAGTTAAGCTCTCTACCACTGAGTAACACCCTCAGCCCTTATTTTTTTTGAGACAAGGTTTTGCTGTGTAGCCCAGGCTGGCCTGGAAGCTGAGATACTCCTGCCTCAGTGAGTGCTGGGATTTCAGGTATGCACCACCACAACTAGCACCAAAACTTTTTCTTTTTTTATGTGCATGCAGTGCTGGGTATTAAACTCAGGTCCTCGAGCTTGCATGTGTTAGACAAGTGCTGTACCACTGAGCTACATCCCCAGCCAAACATTTTTATAAGATATATTTCCTCACATTTCTTGTAATTTAAAAAGGGAAATTTTAATTTTTTTGTGATTTTTTTTTTTTTTTTTTTTTTCTTTTTGTTTGGTGTTGGGCATTGAACCCAGGGTCTCAGATGCATGCTAGGCAAGTACTCTACTCCTCTTTCTCTCTCTTTTTTGTAATTTTTGGAATGTTTTTAGCGCTCTACAGGGAAATTATTATTCTTAACCTAGAAATTTGCATTAAATTTGGAAAGGAGAAAATTTGTGTATTAAGTAATATTGCATAGCTTGCAAATCTCTTACCCTACCATGAATTCATTCCTTTTTGAAAATGAGTACCCATTGATTTAGAAGAGAGGGGAGTATTCAGTCATTAAGTACTTATTGATATTTTTTAAAAATCCAGTCACAGAAGAGACAAACTGTGTTTCGTTTGCCTTTGTTGCTAAGTGGTAGCATTTGTGTCCTGCAGAAGGATCTCAGGCCTGTAGGATTACACCATTTAGTCTGTGAGGCTACAAGCTGTTCCAACCACATTTTCTCAGCACTTCTGGAAGGGCCTAACAAATGTAAAAATTCTTTCGTATTTCTTCACCTGCTGGTGGTTTAATAGCAACCTCCCAAACTCATTACTTTATTCCACACATACTGACTGAGTGCTTCCTGTGTGTCAGGCACTCTGCTAGGCACTATTCTGTCTGCAGAGGAGAAAGTCCCTGTCCTCATGGAGTTATGTGGCACAGGAGGGATAGTAGAGAGGTAACTCTGTGATTTCATAGAATGTCAGTGCAGTGAAGAAATGAATTGGGACACAGAGCAGAGAGTGCTTAGGAACAGGGGTGCTGCTAGAGAGCTTCTTTAAGACTGGTAGCAAAATGATGCTGGACTTAGTCCTGAGAAGAGTTCCCAAGACAGGGACAAGATGACATATTTGAGAGACAGAATGGAGGACAGTGTGGCCTGAGCACAGGAGTTGAGGGAGGGTGCCGTGAGGCTAAGTCACCCCCTGGTTGCTCACTTTCAAAGGACTCTGGTTCGATGTCTTGTAATTGCTGTCTGTCTTGGTCCCTCCTCTCCTGTCCTCTGCTGATGTCCTGTCACTGCCCTACTGAGAATCTCCAGAGGTCCCATAAGTTCTTACCTGGTTTGAGGCCTTCCACAGGTGACTTTATCTTCTGCTTCTCAGCATGGGTCCTTTATCTCAGCCTGCCAAGTCTGCTTGTTCATGCCTTCCAACACTTCAGGCATTTGCTTATTCTGATTGGTTGTTTTCTGTCCTGGAATGCTTCTCCTTCCTTGTCATTTTCTTCATTCCTTCCTGTCATGTTGATAACTCCCAGCTGGACTGGTCTCTCTCTTTCTACTGCGTGCTTAGCATTTATCTCCATCTTCATGTGTGCTGGGCTTAGCCTTTGCCAACACTGTAAGCTCATTGAGGCATTTTGTCACCCTACACCTAGACTAGTTTCATGTATTGCAAGTGCTAGGCAAAAATAAAATAAAAAAACCTGGTTGATTGATTAATCCTCTATTATATTTGAAATTTAATATATTATGGTAGATTTAAACACTTTGGGGAGTTACACATTCCTTTTGAGAATCTGATAAATGCCAGGCAGTATTCTCTACATTAAAAATGTACATCCACACATTTGCACTCAGTTACCAGGTTCCCCAGCTCCTTAGCCCGTCCTTGGACCAAGGTTAAGTTCCCATATTTATGTACATTTTTAGGATAAAAGTCTGTCTCAGGTGATATTTGGATTCATTATCGAGATATGCTTTCCCTGAACAAATAGCCCTTTTCCTAGTTGAATACTATTTGTGGCTTTTGTTTGTTTGTTTGTTTTCTTTTTTTGATGGTACTTGCATTTGAACTTAGAACATCGTGCTTGCTAAGCAGGCGCTCTTCTGCTTGAGCCATGCTCTCGGTTCTGTCTGTAGTTTTTTAAAAGCTCCTTTCTCCCACTTACGCTTGTGAGGCCTGAACATGCAGAGGAATGGGGAAGGGGTCATTCGGGCTCTGGGTTTCCTTGATGTTCTCAAGCTTCTTCATGTCATCCATGGAAGCTGCCAGGGAGCACGGGTGAAATTTACCATTTAGAGTAACTGTATTTTCCCTTTTTGGGGAGCAATTTTGCTTTGCCTGATCCTGATTTTCTCTTTGCGTTTTACTAATATTGCTCCTGGTTGTGAATACCTCTTGTCCTTCTTTGGGAAAAGGGCTTAAGTAACTGGACCATTTGAAATAGCATCACGGACAAGAGAGAAGAATGGGCCTCATAGTGTGTGTCCTGTTTCTTCAAAGTCTCATCTGTCCCTCACCTTTTCGTCACAGCCATATGCATTCCAAACCTCAGACATAACTTTGTTTAAGGGGC